GTACTAGCAGCAGCAGCCACTATGGCATTATGTTCTGTATAATAATACCTTGACATTTCCTTGTAATTAGAAACATTTTCTTAACAAAGTTTTCCTCAGAGAACTTCTGAAGATTTTATTGTTCAATAGTAGTGTAATTCCTGTTGTTTTTCTTACAATGTAAAGAAAAATGCAGATTTGGGGAGGTAATGGACTTAATGTAATCAGGTAGCCTGCTTTTCAGAGAAGAAACAGACTGTTCCCTGGCTTTCTACTGAAGTATGATTTACTTAACAACTTGTCATGTCTAAGGTTCATAGTAATTCATGAACTTTAATGTGCATCAAGATGTATTTGTTTCCAGTCTAGCAGCAAAGTTATACTAATAAATCTTTGCCTACATTTTTAAAAATACATGCCAAGTGTCTTACCTTTCTTTTGCTCCTTAGAGGCAGCATATGTACTCATGTGTAGATTTTTCAGTGCACTGATAAGAAATAATATGGTGCAACAGCACTTCGTTTTTGTTCAACCTTTGTACTTGATGAATAAGCAGGCAATGTAAAAAAAACAAAACAACCCAAAAACAAGCAAACAAAAAAAAACCCTAGAAAGTCCTTGGCAAAAGATTGACTAGGTTGCGCAACTTCTTATAATCATCTTGGATTCAATTGGATCTGTAGCCAATAGGGAAGTCTAATGGTAGTATGCTCAAGTGTCAAGTTCCAGATCCTGTAGGAAGCACTGAGTTAAAATGCCACTGGGAATTTACAAGCAAGTTGAGTTATAATAAATCAAAGAAATGCTGGAGACAGAAAAAGACTTACATTTTTTTATGTGATCAGTCATCAACTGAAGAAAATTTAAAGATATTTGTATAATGACATAAAGATCTCTAGTTAAATCTGGGTTAAATTCTTGTGTTTTGGAAACAGCATCAGAGGAGCTGTGGCGTGTGATATATAAAGGTCATTATTTACACAGAATTACAAGCACTTAAGGACATATGTTATATGGACTATATTTCAGGAAGAAATACTAAAACCAAATTTAATTTGCTCTGATTTGAGAGGGTGTCTATATGCAGGTTGAAAAACAATATATTGATACACAAACACTGTGTCCATTTTTTTTTATTGGTACTCATTCTCTAAGCCTCATTCCGTCCAATGCACAGCATCAAACTACAAAATGATTCAGTGTCCTCTTAGTCTCAATTCTTCTCAAATACATAGTTATAGAAATAATTTAACTTTCTTATCCCTCTTTGATGTTCTTGCCACTTTGATTTTTTGTTTAATATCTGAGAACATTCTCCAGCTTTTCCAAGCTACATCCCTGATTCAGCATCATGAGCAGTCTTCAAATTACTTGTGGTAATCAGTTGTCTTCCTGTGGCACCCATTGCTGATATTTTTGTTGCCTCTTAGAAAATCACTGCATTTTAACCTTCTGTCAGAAGGTTTCCAGCAGAGAAGATGCAGCTAAGTCGGACATTTCTAGTCTCAAGGACATACTGGATCACCTTGAAGTATTTAGCCATGAGTCCATATCACATAAGAAAAAGAGACTTGCCTCAGGTAAAAAGGTTCCTGCATAGTGTGTCCACACACCCTTAAAATTGGTGGGGCTGGAAAAGTACACTTTTTCTTCTTACTCTGCCATGCATGCTTGCAGTCTCAACACAGACAAGAAAAGTCCAGTAGAGCTTGGAGACACCACTGCTCAATGTTGGCAGCTGCTTCCACGTGATGTTTTAGAACACAGGAGAAAACGTAGCAAGTGGTATTCTTCTCTCCCTCTCTAAATGCCAGGGCGATCTCCAGGAAAATGCACCCTGTTTGTACTTAACGACAAGCTCCCTATGATCGGTTCTGAGAGACTCCCCACGTGAATTACATTTAGTGTGCAAATTTACTTTGGAAATCAGCAACTGTAACATTTCCTTAAATTCTTCATTGCAGTTTCTCTGCTTTCATTCTGTCATGTCTTCAGTTGGACTTGATTTTAGAGAAACTGTCACTGCTGAGACCTTGCAACAGCTTTCATACACCCAGATTGAGGGATGAAGAGTCTCCAATAAAGAAGTAACATGAGACCTCCCTGCCAGCTCCCAGTTCCATGCTTTCCAGAGAGTCTTGAATGAAACTGCTCTCATAGATTAAGAACGTGCTTCACTTAAAAATTATTCTTTTCCACTATGAAGCATAACATAATTATCCATTTACAAACTGGTGTTCTTAGTGAGGGCCTCATTCTTTGGACTGGATCTAAACAAACCATTTTTGCTGTTCCATTTAATGTCTTGTTACAGCCATCCAGTTTTTCTTGAGAAATCCAGTCCCAGTGCACTCCAAATTTGCCAGAAAAAATGGCAAATCACTTTGATTTGTTTCTTCTTCTTCAGGCTCCAAAGCATCTTTGCAGCGTGAGTTGCTAACCTGACTGAATTTCTACTTAACATCATCAAATTCGTGGCGATTATAGATCTTTATTGAAGTCAGTTGGAAGACTGGGTTACACTTTTGAATCTCTTTTGAGAATTCTCTGGAAGTGGTGAAAACTACAAGGAGAGGCTGAGAAAGCTGGAATTGTTTAGTCTCTAGAAGGTAAAACTTAGAAGGTGTCTTATCAAAGTAAATACCTGATAGCAGGAATAGAGAAAATGAAGTTGGTCTCTTCTCAGTGATGCCCAAGGGTAGGATAAGAGACAATAGCTGCAAATTGGAGAACAGAAAATTCCATTTAAATGTAAGGAAAAATTATTTTTACTGTAAGAGTGGCCAAACATCGAAACATTGCCCAGGCAAGTTGTGGGGTCTCCATCCTTCAAGATATTCAAAACCTGCCTGAACAAGACACTGATGGCCTGCTTTAGGTGTCTGTGCTTTGAGTAGTGGGGCTGGACTAGATGACCTTCAGAAGTCCATTCCAACATGAACCCTACTCCGCTTCTATGGAACTTTTATTATTTCCTTATCCTAAGATTATCGTTATGCAGTTCCACTACTTTGCATCATTTTTTGAGCCTGAGGGCATTCTTGGCTGCAGTCATTGATTGAATAGTGTCAGTTATACAACTTAAAATTTTTGACATCTTGCAACTCATGTAGAGCTAATGAAAAATAGAGGAAAAATAAATCCTGAGGGAAGATATCTAGCTGACTTTGTAGTTCTTAATAGGAGATGGTGTTCTGGAAACAAGCAAATAGTTTAAACAATCTTTCATGAACTGTGAATGGGAGGAAGGTATACTCCTCAGGATCTCAGGAGTTTTTGATAATTTCCTTTAGCTATGTTCTCAAATTGCTTGACTTTCTAGCTTTTAGGAATTTCGTAGAAATTACTAGACAGTAATTAAATTTACTAATTTAATAGTAAATCTAGTAATTTAGTAATTACTAGACAGTAATGAAACAGTGAGATCAACTCTTCATGCCTTCCTTGAATCTGTTAATACATTTGCTTGTAGCTCACTATAGCTGCAGTGGTAGAGAAGTTTTTTTGGTTGCAACCTATTGATTTACTAACAGGATTAAAGTCATGTATCAAGAGTGTCAGGAATCGCTAATTTCTTAGTTCTTGCATGATTAAGAAGCTCCACAGTGGCTAAAACTGAAGTCATTCTTCATTCTTAAGGAATCAAACAGTTCATTGCTAAAAGAAAGTCATCTTATCATCATTAATGAACACTGCCAAATCCTGGTATCTTTATAATATGTTTTTTTTATATGTATTCACAAATCACATAGCAGTGTCTTTATTTCAGACTACCTGTTCTTATTCCAGGAACTTACTGAAAGAGAGCAACTCAGAAGGAGTAGTGTACTTTTCTGAGTGTTGGGGACTATGGAGGTAGACAGGGTGGGAGTGCTGGAAAGGACTGTGTGGGTACTGTAAGGGTAAAGAATTCTTCATCTTTTATATTTTGTGCTGTGAATGTTCCTATTACTAACCCAACTCCAAGAAGATTAGATACAAGTATGTAACTCCTCTTTTTCTCTTTTTTTTTTTTAAAGTTTGTGGAGATTTTGTGTTAAAGGATCATTTAGCAAGACTGAAGGAATACCAGAATATGAAATGGGTGCTTAAAATAGACATCAGCTAGTAAAAGTTACAAAAATGTTGTATTTTTACAGCATAGAAAAGTCAATTCAAGCTGTAGAAGAAGATATCGAACGTGAAAAGGTGGTAGCAGATGACATAATAAAAGACATGTCTCAGGAAAATCAAGTTAAATATATGGAGATGAAGGCTGCAAATGAAAAACTGTCCCAGGTTGGTTTGTTTCATTGTACTTACCTAAAATGTTTCTCAATCTGATGCCATTTGTTTCAGATACAATTTAAGTATTAAAGGGGTTGAGGATGGAATAATACAATAAAAAAGCTTGCTGTTATCTTAATCAATTGTAGAAGTGCCTGAAAAATAAGTAGAGCATTTGACTAAAACCAAATTATTTGTCATTTTATATTTAGTATTTTAAGAACAAATTATGATCATAATTTTCCTCTTCAATTTGGGGACTGACATGCAGATTTAAAAGCCACTGTAGTGCTTCAATGTTTCATCATCTGTAAAATGCAAGCAAAGGGAAAAACAACCCCAGCAATATTTTTTTAGTTCACTTGAGTAGAAAGATTTCCTCCTGTGTACCAAAGTTAATCTAACGGGTTTTTTGTTGCTTTTGTACATCTGCATGTATCAGCAAAATGAATTTGCTTTGTAAAATTTATGTGAGTTTGCTAATTGTAATGTTAATAAAACAGTAAGATTTCCAGGTTCTCCGGGATCATCTAGCTTCAGGGATACAGTCTTGGAAGGTTTCTCTGTATAATCTATATAGATAGGCATCTTTTGTAGGCCAGTCCTTCCCAGATGTCTTAGGATGAGCTGAATCACCAGTCATGGCCTACTTGTCTCTTTCTTAACTCTGAAGAAAACGTGGCTAGTTCAGAGTTAAAAATCAGACTTTAAGCTTCTGAAGTAGAGATTATAAATTCCACCTTCAGTACTGATTTTAAGAAAAATAATGGGAAAAGAGCAAACAGTTCTTTGGTTATAGCCAAACTGTAAATAACAATGAGAATTTACTGGAAAAGTTGGGATGCTGAAAGTAAGTGGATGTTACATCGAAGTTACTTGGAGAAGCTGGTCACTGTCTTGTCTGTCAAATTTTTAAGAGTGGCCATGAGACGTTTTACAGCATTTTATAAATATTAAGTTGCAGAACAAAAAGTAATCTCATCAAGTAGTAATTTTTAACTGAATTTTGCATTTTTTCCTCTTTAGGAATTGATTGTTCAACAGCAGGAGTTGGACACACTAAATGTAAAGGAGGAGGCTCTAAGAGCTGTATGTATGCTAACAAGTGGTCTCTGTACCAATCTTCACTGAACTCTAGTGTAAAAAATAATACAATAGAAAAATATCTATAATCTTTCTCTTTAAATTTTCAGATGCCCTAGCATGAGAAGGCAAAGCTGCCTCTCTGTTTTCCACCAGCAATTTTAATCAGTTCTAGGTAAAAATTTTTATAGCAATAGTGAGGTTTCCTAGCTTTAGTTGCTCATGTGGTTTCAAATGCTTTGTGTGACACTTGATTGATTTGGAATGACTCTCTGAAGCTAAATGTGAAATTGTCATTCACATTCTTCTTAACGGTTTGTGCAACGTAATTTTTCAACATGTTTTGAATTGTCAGCATGTGTGACAATTATTTTCTTGTTCCACATGCCATTTCGGTTGGACTTGATCTTAGTGGTCTTTTCCAACCTTAATGATTCTGCAATTCTGTGATTCAAGAGCAACTGGCATTTCAAGCACAAAGTGGTACCTGCTAAGGTATTTTTTATTCCACATACATACATAAACACACGCTTCTAATACACTGTAATATTGCTACACTGAGAAGAATTTTCTTGTACTGGGTCTTTCATGCATAAAAGGATCTGTGAGCTGAAACATAGTTATGTATATATTCAGAAAGTGTAATTTTCAAATACTACTTGACATTTTTTCATTCCTTTTTAGTACTGAATATGGTTTGTGATACCCTAGAAATGAAGAAGTAGTACATCTGCTCAGAAAATTGACCTAAGGGTGGACTTATAAAGCAAGAAGTGGCTGACTGGGATATTCCTTTCCAGAAAATTGAATATTGAGAATATGTATTATAAAGTTTGTTGTTTATACTGTCTCTGTACTGTTTGTAACAAGTAAACTTCACTTTCAATATTTAGATGACTGTGAGTTAACTATAGCATAAATTCTGCAATGCTCTCTTGCCATCTGAAAATAGCTACTATGTGTTTGCTTTTCCCAACAGGAAATAGCACACTCCCCAGTGAAACAGGAGGCTGTGCAGCTCTATGAAAAGCTCCATGAACTTGAGGAACGTCGAGATCAAATGATTGCTGAGGATAAGAACATGGAATCTCCGCAGGAGGAAAGAGAGAGATTACTAAAGCAGGCAAGAACATAAAATGTTATGCAACAGATTCTCTGAGTCAGTGTTTTAAGGCATTATAGTATTTGAAAGTACTTGGTTTTGAATCTTGCTTCTGTTTGCTTTTTAAGCAGCAGAATAATCTGAAAAGAAGAACACTTAATGAATTGGCTGGATGGGATGTTTCAGTTTCAGCAAAAGTAAAGTCAGCTTTTCACCAAACATGCTGATACGGGAAAACTGATCCTATTGAACAAGTCTGTAACATAACTACAGATGTTATCCTTGTGGGGCCCTGAGCAGATATACTAATCCACAAACAATTTAGTTTACAAGGTTCTGTGCTGTGTTATGTAACTATCCATATGTACTATATGGATTATTGAACCTGAACAACACTAAAAGTGTGTCTGACTTCAAAATGTATATTGAAAAAGCAGAATAACATTTGGAAGACATAACCCTTCAATGAAGAGCCATTGTTGGACAATGCAAGAGCAAGTTTGTGATTTCGTATGCTGTGTTTCTATGCCCTGTATACTAAATTAAGAACTCCTTTTTGATTTTCCTTTTTTTATTTGTAGATATTATTTCATATGTTAAAGTTGTTGTACCTTTTCATAGGTTAAGGATGATAGTCAAGAAATTGCAAGCATGGAAAGACAGTGAGTAATCCTGTTACACTGTTGCTACAAATTACATTTAGACCCTAAAGACAGATAGCTGAATTCCATCACATATTTCTATGAACTTTTAGAACATAGATTTTCAAGTGTCTGCTAGTGTTAACTTTCCACAGGGAACAGAATGTATCCTTCTGTTTCAGCTAAACAGCTTTCTTAGTGAAAGAATATTTAGATATTCATAATGAGATACTTTGTTTACAGAAAAATTGAGGTAATTCTTGAAATCTAGAAACAATTTTAAATTCTTTTAAGCAGTATTCCTGGCTGTTATGATTGGTTAGTTTTAATGCACTGACACCTTTAATTGGATAATAAGGTGCTTAACAGAATTTTTTGAAAGAAACAATAGAAGAGAATTATATTTGAGAATTTAAATAGAAATGTTTTTAAGGTAATATTCATTCTCACTTCGATTGATTATGTAATACCGTGTTTTAGTGAATTTTAGTGAATTTTAGTGAACATGTAGGTAATTTTTAAGGAATACTGTTCCTTGTTGCAGTTTACCAATTATTCTTCCACTGCAAAGCGGTATAGCAACCAGCAGAGGGACCAGTTGAGTAAGTTAAGAACTACTGATGTCTCAACAAAAAGTGTTTTTAATTAAAAAAACCAGCAGAGACTAAAGAGACAGGTGGTTTACGTATATCTCTTATAGTAACAGCAATCCAGATATTCTTTTGGTTTTGATAAAGTTAGGTTTACAATTTTTATTCTTGACATTTCTCTCCATTTTTGTCTAAAAAAAATAAGTATTTTATAACACATTTTTAACCTTGGATTTCATTATCTATTTGTCAGGCTGACAGAAGTAAAAGAAAAAACAAACCATTTTAAAAAGGTCATTCAACGACTCAATATGGATCTGGAAAATCATCAAGGTAATATGACTAGAGTTGTGGCAGAATATGCAGACCCGTTCTGTTCATATTATCACACATATCGTTACGGACATTTGTTGCTTGAAACTTTCAGGCTTATGCAAATGTTTGTGATTCACCATCAGAAGAAGCTTTTGTGTCTGGGGGTGCAGGCATCTCTTTTCAGATATGAGAAATGAGGAATACCCACCCTTAGTGGTATGTTCATCAAGTTCATATTAAGTAGTAAGACTACCATGTAAAATGATAGTACAGCTGTCTGGTTTTCTGTCCCAGTTTTATTTTTTAGGACTACTTGAGGAACAGAAGTTTCTCTTACTGGCAGCATTGCAAAACCAGCTCAGCTTTAGAAATGCTTTTATTTATTTTGCCTTTTACATGATCTCATACACTGTCAGTGAATGTGGAATTGAGAATGTTTAATAGTAATGAATAAAGCAGACAGAATTCAGTACTGTTGAGTTGGCCAAAAAGTATTTGTTTTTTTCTTCAATGGATGGACATACGTGTCTCGAAATGTAACTAACTTCATTTTAAACTGTAAATTCATTATGTAACTTGACAGCTGACAGTTCAAGCTTGTTATAGAAAAAGAAAGATTTCATTAACAATTATATGGCATCGCTTTCAAAATGGAAAATCAAAAGGAACATTTTCATCATATTTTGCTGTATTCCTTCCGAAAAAGAAAAAGCGTTGTGCAAGCTCATTTAAAGTTTTGTGATGCATATGGTGAAGATGCCTTAAAACTACAGCAGTGTCAGAATTGGTTTGCTAAATTTTGGGTTGGAGATTTTGATGTTAAAGTTGATAACAACAAAATAAAGATATTTATTCAATTGAAATGATGTTTAATGACATGAGAGATTGCTGATAATTTGAACATACTGAAATCAAGGTTTGAAAACCATTTAGAACAATTTTGATATGTAGGAAGCTCGATATGTGGGTACCACATAAGCTCAAAGAAATACATCTCTCTAAGCATATTGACACCTGTGATTCTTGAAACGTGAAGAAAATTATCCATTTTTGGAATGTATGATAACAGGGGATGACAAATGGATCATCTACAGTAATGGCAAATTAAAAAGATCATGAAGCAAGTGTGCTGAACCAGCTCAAAGCACTCCAAAAGCAGATATTCACCAAAGGAAGGTTATGCTGTCAATCTGGTGGGATTTCAGAGGTTTTGTGTATTTTGCATTGCATCCAAGGAACCAAACCATTAATTTTGATGTGTACTGGTGTTAACTGGGTAAACTGAATTATGCCATCAAACTGAAGTGCCCAAAATTGGTGAATCTCAAAGGTGGTGTGTGTTATTTCTCCATGGTAACACTACACCACATAGACATTTGGTCACTTGTCAAAACTTGTTGCATCTTGGATGGGATGTGTTACCACATCCACTATATTTGTCACACCTGGCACCATCAGACCACCATTTGTTTCATTCTTTACAAACCACCTTGAATGGTAAACCCTTCACTGCTAATGAAGATATCAAATCATTCTTGGAACATTCTTCTTTTCCCAAAAAATACAAGAACTTTTTGGAGCACAGATTCGTGAAGTTGCCTGAAAGATGGCAAAAGGTAATTGAACAAAATGGACACTATATTGTTCAACACAGTTTTTATTTCCCATGAAAAATTCAGCTTTCATTTACCCAGAAAACAACACAATTACTTTTTTTTTTTTTGCCAACCCAATATATTTATCTGTCTTTGAAACTTCTTGGGTTGATCTTCTCAAGAAGAGCTTAGAAGCTCCCTAGGAATGATGTTGGCTTAGAAACTTACCTCCGCCTGCTTTAGTACATGAGGCTAGTTTAGGTTGACATTTGTCCTAGCACTGGATGTTGTTGTTCTGGAGGAGGTAACTTAGTTTGAGCATAGGACCACAACAGCTGTGGAAGATTCTCCTTAAAATGGAATTGCATTCCATGGAAAACCTTCTTCTATTTATAAGAAATCTTGTTTAGATAGGAGTTACATAAATATGTGCAAACATTCTGCAAGGCTTTGTAACAAGTTATCTAAATTCTGTAGGACTGATTAATTAATGTGTTGGTTTCCTTTTTCCTTTATACATTTTCTGGGGCAATTAGTGCAAAATTTAGCTGTAAATTTCTTCAAGGTGAACAAATATTTCTAAAATTTACCCTAAGCTCATGTTTGGTGTACATACTTTTATCATCTTTGTCATTACAAAGGATTTAATATTTCTCCAGATAATCCATTATTTTTGTGCAAATAATTTAAGACTATTTTATTAGCTTCACAGAATCACAGAATCACAGAACGT